GGATGGCACGCGGGACACAACTAGTTGATCCGTGCGAACTGCACAGAGAGGCGATGGAGCTGCCCACAGTGGCGGCGATGTGATGGATGATTGGGGGATGGTGGACCAGGGGTTGATGGGGGCACAGAGGAACTCCGAAGGCCTTGGGGGAGGATTGGGATGGGCACGCCAGTGCAGGGGCAAGAAACGTGGGAACGCATGAGAGTTCCAGAGGTCTGTTGGGTCGAAGGTGGGGCCAGTAGACCTGGGCCGGCGCGGAAACGAAAATAGCGCTTCAGCAATTTGATCGCTCATAGCAACGTTCGCTCATGGGAGCCATTGTGGGACGACCGTGCTAAGTCATCGTTCGTACTTGGCGCCCTCGTGGGCCGTCTTGGCGCCTTCTTGGGCCGTCTTGGCGCCCTCTTGGGACGGTTTGAAGGCATCTTGGGAGGCTCTTGGGCCGTCTTGGAACGCTTTTGGGGGCATCGTGGACCGTCTTGGGCGCCTCTGGGGCCGTCTTGGCGCCCTCTTGGGTCGTTTGGGGGCATCGTGGGAGGCTCTTGGGCCGTCTTGGGCGCTTGTGGGGGCCTATTGGACCGTCTTGGGCGCCTCTTGGGCTTTCTTGGCGCCCTCTTGGGCTGTTTTTGGGGCCTCTTGGGGGCCTCTTGGGCCGTCTTGGGGCGACCGAGGGGGCGTCGTGGACCGTCTTCAACGGCATGGAAACCGAAAAACCGTATAGGTTAGACATGTTTTTTCAAGAAAATCCATGATTTGCGTATTTGGGGCCCTTGGGGACGCGTCGTGGGTGCCTTTTGGGGCGTTTTGAAAGCCTCTTGGGACGTCTTGGGGCCATCTTGGGCAGTCTTGGGTTCTCTTGGAGCCCTCTTGGGCCGTCTTGAGGCTGTCTTGGGCCGTCTGAGGCGCTTCTAGGGCCGTCCTGGGCAGTTTTCCGAGGATGTCTCAAGCTACACGTTCTTTTTGAGCCCCGAAGGCCGCCCTACTCGATAAATAACGAGGCGGGAAGGGGCCTCCGGGATCCATTGGGGGGGGGGTCAGAATTTCCAGTTGTCAGAGATATATATATATATATATATATATATATATCGTGAAAAGTCTCGAACGGGAGCCCTTGTCGTCCGTGGCTGGCACTGTGTACAGAACGCTTCCCCTCTACCTCCCCATTATGTGGGTGGGTGTACGCCGCGGCAGCAGCAAACGGCGAGTGTTGTGGCTCCGCGCTCTGGCTCCGCGCGTGCTGTGGCTCCGGGTGTTCCCGGTGTCCCGGGTGCTCCGAGTGCTCCGGGTGCTCTGGGCGTTCCGGATGTCCCGGGTGTTCCGGGTGTTCCGGGTGTCCCGGGTGTCCCGGGTGCTCCGGGAGCTCCGGGTGTCCCGGGTGTCCCGGGTTTCCAGGGATCCCGGGTGCTCCCGGGTGTCCCGGGAGTCCGGGGTGCTCCGGGTGTCCTGGGTGTCCCGGGTGTCCCGGGTGTCCCGGACTGAAGCCGGAGAGGAGACTCTCCTCGATGTGTTGGGTGTGATTTGTGTCTCTGTGTGTCCATGTAGTTCCAGGCGGCCTCAGGAGGCCCGAGAAGACCCCAGGAGGCTCCAGGAGGCCCCAAGAGGCTCCAGGAGGCCGCAGGAGGCCCCAGGAGGTTCCAGGAGACCCCCAACCAGAAGGTACAGAAAGCCCCACGAGGCCCCAGGAGGTTCCTGGAGGCTCCCAAGAGGCTCCGAGGCGGGGTCTGGGGTACTAAAAGGTACGTCGGGGCCCGATTCTGGGAGGACGTCTCAGGCGAAATCGCCATTCTCTGAGAATCGGGGTCAAAATCATTGAAATTACAATGAAGGCCCCAGTGCCACCGTCCACATGCGTCCCCCCCACTCAGTACAGCGTTTCGTGGGGGGACTCATGCGAACTGCGCCACTGGGACCTTCGGTGGAGCTTTCTATGGGGCCACGAAGCGCTGTACTGGGCGGGGGGGACGCATGCGGGCTGTGCCACTGGGACCTTCGGTGGAGCTCTCTATGGGGCCACGAAGCGTTGTACTGGGTGGGGGGGACGCATGCGAACTGCGCCACTGGGACCTTCGGTGGAGCTCCCTGTGGGGCCACGAAACGCAGCCCTGGGTGGGGTGGGGGGGGGGGAGGGCGCATGCGGGCTGCGCCACTGGGGCCTTCGGTGGAGCTCCCTATGGGGCCACGAAAACGCAGCCCTGGGCGGGGGGACCGCGTGCTGGCTGTGCCACTGGGACCTTCGGTGGAGCTCCCTAAGGGGCTACGGAACGCTGCCCTGGGTGGGGGAACCGCATGCGGGCTGTGCCACTGGGACCTTCGGTGGAGCTCCCTATGGGGCTACGAAGCGCTGCCCAAGGTGGGGGAACCGCATGCGGGCTGTGCCACTGGGACCTCCGGTGGAGCTCTCTATGGGGCTACGGAACGCTGCCCTGGGTGGGGGAACCGCATGCGGGCTGTGCCACTGGGACCTTCGGTGGAGCTCCCTATGGGGCTACGAAGCGCTGCCCAGGGTGGGGGAACCGCATGCGGGCTGTGCCACTGGGACCTTCGGTGGAGCTCTCTATGGGGCTACGGAACGCTGCCCTGGGTGGGGGAACCGCATGCGGGCCGTGCCACTGGGACCTTCGGTGGAGCGGTGGAGCTCCCTATGGGGCTACGGAACGCTGCCTTGGGTGGGGGAACCGCATGCGGGCTGTACCATTGGGACCTTCGGTGGAGCTCCCTATGGGGCTACGAAGCGCTGCCCAGGGTGGGGGAACCGCATGCGGGCTGTGCCACTGGGACCTTCGGTGGAGCTCCCTATGGGGCTACGGAAGCGCTGCCCAGGGTGGGGGAACCGCATGCGGGCTGTGCCACTGGGACCTTCGGTGGAGCTCCCTATGGGGCTACGGAACGCTGCCCTGGGTGGGGGAAAATGCGGAGCTGGGACACGGACCTTCGGTGGAGCTCCCTATGGGGCTACGAAACGCTGCCCTGGGTGGGGGAACCGCATGCGGGCTGTGCCACTGGGACCTTCGGTGGAGCTCCCTATGGGGCTACGAAACGCTGCCCTGGGTGGGGGAACCGCATGCGGGCTGTGCCACTGGGACCTTCGGTGGAGCTCCCTATGGGGCTACGCTGCCCTGGGTGGGGGAACCGCATGCGGGCTGTGCCACTGGGACCTTCTGGAGCCCTATGGGATTCTGGGTGGGGGAACCGCATGCGGGCTGTGCCACTGGGACCTTCGGTGGAGCTCCCTATGGGGCTATGCGCTGCCCAGGGTGGGGGAACCGCATGCGGGCTGTGCCACTGGGACCTTCGGTGGAGCTCCCTATGGGGCTACGGAACGCTGCCCTGGGTGGGGGAACCGCATGCGGGCTGTGCCACTGGGACCTTCGGTGGAGCTCCCTATGGGGCTACGGAACGCTGCCCTGGGTGGGGGAACCGCATGCGGGCTGTGCCACTGGGACCTTCGGTGGAGCTCCCTATGGGGCTACGAAGCGCTGCCCTGGGTGGGGGAACCGCATGCGGGCTGTGCCACCGGGACCTTCGGTGGAGCTCCCTATGGGGCTACGACACGCTGCCCTGGGTGGGGGAACATGCATGCGGGCTGTGCCACTGGGACCTGCGGTGGAGCCCCCTATGGGGCCACGAAGCGCTGCCCTGGGTGGGGGAACATGCATGCGGGCTGTGCCCCCCGTGGTTCTGTACGTGCGGGCCCGTGCATTGCATTCCGCGCGCCGCGCATTAGCTTGCGGCGGGAATCCACCCTGCACACTGCATGGGACAGTTTTTGGATTATTTGCAGCCTGCGAATTTGCTGGCGCTGCACGCTTTTTGCAGAACCCCTATTCTCGCATCGTCTGAAGTCTTCCACCTCCCTGCTTTTTTTTGGAGGTGAATTGCAGCGCAGTCAGAGAGATGATCATCTTCGTCATCGTCATCGCCATGGCCATCATCATCATCAGCAACCCCATCATCATCGCCGTCATCATTACCATCATCATCATCATCATCATCATCATCATCATCATCATCATCATCATCATCATCATCATCATCATCACCATCATCATCATCATCATCATCATCATCATCATCATCGCCATCATCATCATCATCATCATTACCATCATCAGCATCATCAGCATCATCATCATCAACATCAACATCAACATCAACATCACCACCATCATTATTAGCACTGTTCGTATTACTATCATACTTCTTTGATTATAGTTCGTGTTTTTATTATCATGATTGTTACAATACGTATTGTTATTATGTTTCTTAGTATTATCTGGTTCATCATCGTCGCGGCTCGCCCAACCCTGGAAACACGATGCGTCGCGCGTGACGGCGTCCCGTGCCCCCCTCGAGCAGTCGCCACCCATAGTCTTTGGGCTGACATGGTGGCGGGACTTGCCGCAGGCAGTTGTATATCTTATTGGAGTGCGATGTATAGTCTAGCATGGCAAGTGTGTCCTTGTCACTGCGAGAGCACCATCGAACAATTCGATACATTGATTTATATTACACAGCGTTTTATCCATTTGTTTCCACGTGTCGGGGTGCAAACGGGACGGTATTCATGGTGCGAGCTTGCTGGCCACGCAGGCAGGCGTGGACGGAGCAGGGCGAAGCAAGCGTATATGCAATGCGCCAGCAGCTGCTTAGGAGGCTGTGCGGGCATGGGCCAGGGCCCGCAGGCAGTCTTGCAGGACGTGGGGGTAGAACAGGTCCAGGTTTGAAGTGAGGTTCATCTTTGGCCACTCGTCGAAAATAATCAACCTACGGCGAACCACCGCCACCCCCTGCCTTTTGGAAACGCCCATGAGGCCAAACGTTGGGGCAGAAGCCCAGACGTGCTCCCCCAGCCGTTGTGGAACTCCTGTGGGGAACATTTGGGAGAGGAAGAGAATGGATGAGGAGACGGAGCAGAAGGAGAAGTGGGAGTAGGAGGGTGAAGAAGACGAGGCCTCTCCCTACATCCCTCCTCCAGCTCGTCGTCTCCCCCTAAGCCCCTGGCAGGACTACGAGCGGCGCACGTCGCAGAGAAGCCCGCCGCGATCTGGGCTCGGTATGGTGCCGTGATGCGATTGGGGAGAGGAGGACGGTGGCGATGATGCTGCTGATGATGATGCTGATGATGATTCTGATGTTGATGCTGATGCTGATGCTGATGCTGATGCTGCTGTTGATGGTGATGACGACGACGATGACTGTGATGCTGTGATGTTTGTGTTCTCTTTCCAGAAGAATGATGTATGCTGACCCCCCTTGCCCAATGCACTTTTTAGTGTTTTCAGCTAAACTGCTCCTCCCAGGGCTCGCACCCTGTTTTCTATTTCAAGGGGAAGTATTCTTTCTCAAACTATGTTGTTGGCCTTGGTTTGCAACAGCAGCGGCTTGCGCCGGATACTTCCTCACAGCTTATTTCATAGTCGCGCTCGCGCGCGGGACTTCCTTACACGCCCGACCCGCCCGTCTTGTTCTGCTGCTTGTTCTCTTGCTCCTAACCCTCCTCTTGCAAAACTCTCTCATGCTCGATCCTTCTCTCTCCCCCTTGTCTCTTCGCTCCTCCTTTCTTCCCTTCTCCTAGGGGCTGCGCCAACTACACGCGGCAGGTAGGGAAGATGTACCCCCGAGGGGGGTACGATCGAAGACGAAGAGGGCGGCTATCGATGTTTTGGGATATACGTGTTGAATGGCACGCGAGCAGATAAGAGCGAGCAGGCTTAAAACGATTGTTGTTGAGCCTCACTCATTCAGCAGTTGTTAATGTTGGACACTACATCCGCTCAGGCGCCGCCGGCTGCATTTCCTTAGAATATTCGGCTCACGCTCAGGCGTTTCGTGGTTCGGCTGAAAGGGACCTCCGAACAACAACAACAACAACAACAACAATCATTTTACCCGAACGCTCAGTGTTCTCCCCAGTGCCAGGGTTTTCTTGCGACACCAGCCAATACCCCCACTTCGTGGGGGGGCCGTTCAAGCTCTACCAAATATCCAAACGACTCTTCGAGACCACCCACACCCAGCTTCCCGCCCTATGACGTTGGGACACTTCACTTCGTGGCGTGCGGACGACCCTGGCTACTACACTGGCGTGGGGTACACACCCACAGAGGTTGATCACATCTGTTACATATGATGTGGTACACGGTACACGTGAGATGGTACGCAGTGCCAAGATAGTTGGTCACATTTTTGGGGCAAATTCGTGGCATCAAGAGACCGCGAATGGATTTCGAGATTTTTCGGATGAGAAAGTAGTGCGTTTTCATATGTTTTCTGAACATCGCATCTTGAAATTATTGAAAACCCATTGTGTTTGGCAGGATTTCGACATGCGCGCGCGGCGGCCGCGCGCATGTGCACTTCGTCTCATTTTTTGCAAGGGATGGTGGCCCTCGCAGGCGCGCAACCGTTGTTGGAGAAGTTCAAAGCACCTGAAGAAGTAGCACGCAAAGACCCTTTTGACAGAAATGTTTAAAAAGTGGTGTGTTTCCTATGAATCCGCAAGAGCGCGCGGAAGGACATTTTGACAATTTTTTCTTAAAAAACCATTGGGTTTTTGATGTTTTTATGTTAAAATCGCTACGAAACCTAAGGTTTTGGAAGGATTTCGTCTTGCGAGCGCGAATGTCCACTTTACCTTATTTTTTGCAAGGGATTCTTGAAATTTGATCAACTAAGAACAAGAATTTTCATTTTCTATTGTTTTTTGCAAGGGAAAACGAGCGTCAACAAAAAACCGGATCCGGGGGTAATCCACTTTTCTGAAGCTTTCGCAGAAAAATGATGAAAATGTAGCTGCGGCCTAGGTTTTGGGCGGGGGGCGTGCACCAGGGGGTCCAACAATAATAATTCTTTAGAAGTAATAGTGTTCAACAACAACAACAACAATCACTTTACCCGAACGCTCAGTGTTCTCACCAGTGCCAGGGTTTTCATGCGACGCCAGCCAATACCCCCACTTTGTGGGGGGGCAGTGCAAGCTCTACCAAATATCCACACGACTCTTCGCCACCACCCACACCCAGCTTCCCGCCCTATGACGTTCGGACACTTCACTTCGTGGCCTGCGGACGACCGTGGCTACTACACTGGCGTGGAGTACACACCCACAGAAGTTGTTAAGCCTACGTTCGTACACCCACAGAAGTTGTTAAGCCTTGTTAACCCACAGAAGTTGTTAAGCCTTCCACAGAACATCTGTTGCATATGATGCATATGGTACATGATACACATGATACACATGATACGTACTCACAAGATAGTTGATCACATCTTTAGGGCAAATTCCTGAGGGATGTGGGAATACACAAGAGAGAAAGGATATGGTTGTCCCGATGGTTGTCTAGATGGTTGTCCCGATGGTTGTCTCGATACTTGCCCCACCAAGTCTTGCACGCCTGGTGACTGACCTGGATACCCTTTGCAACGAGCGCCTGATGCAAATAATACGGGCTCTCGCAGTCGGCCAAGGGAGGCCGCGACAGCTCCGGGCCATACTGCTCGTCAAGGGCTTTCGCCGTCAAAGCCATGGACCATCCAAGAACACAGGCGATACCTTGATCCGAGATGGCTACGGATGTGCCAGTGATCAGTCGGAGGCTTCCTGGGGCCGCTTGGGGTCCTCTTGGGGAAGGGGGGAAGCCTCCTGGCGCCGCTTGGGGTCCTCTTGAGGGGCTTTGGGGGGCTTCTTGGAAGCATCTTGGGGCCTCTTGGGGGCTTATTGGGTCCTCACGGCGGGCTCTTGGGGCCTCTTGAAGGCCTCCTGGGGCAACCTATGGCGCAACCAGTAGGGGGACGTTTTATTCTCGGCGGCCGAGGGCGCAACCTATGGCGCAACCAATAGGGGGACGTTTTATTCTCGGCGGCCGAGGGCGCAACCTATGGCGCAACCGCAAGGGATTGTGGCCCCTGGCAGGCGCGCGAACCCCGTTGCAAGAGCGTGCGAAAGTAGCTCGCGCGAGCTCATGTAACATAAATGTTGGAAAACCATTGGTTTTTTTAGGATTCGGACAGCGCGCGCGGGTAGAAATTTTGAAAAGTCGTGCAGGTGTTTTTCGAGGACCTACGGTGCGATTCGTGTGATTTTATGATGCGCGGTGCTAAAATTCTTAAGAAGCCCAATGGTTTTTGGAGATTTCGGCGTGCGCGCGCGAAGAAAAAACGAATGTGTCCCGCATGGTATTATTTGACAGGGATGATGGCCCTGGCAGGTGCGCAACCGTTGTCGCAGAAGTTCGAAAAAGTTGCTCGCAAAAGCCCGTTTGACAGAAATGTTAAAAAGTGTTGGGTTTCCTACGAATCCGCAAGAGCGCGCGGGATGAGATTTTGACCATTTTTTGTTGAAAAACCATTGGTTTTTTGATGTTTTTATGTTAAAATCGCTGCGAACACTAAGGTTTTGGAAGGATTTCGTCTTGCGCGCGCGAATGTCCACTTTACCTTATTTTTTGCAAGGGATTCTTGAAATTTGATTATATTAGAACAAGAAATGTCATTTTCTATTGTTTTTTGCAAGGGAAAGCGGATTACAACAAAACAACCGGATCCTGTACACACCCTCTTTTCTGAGGCTTCCTCACGAAAATGATGAAAATGTAGCTGCGGCCTAGGCGGCGCAGGGGGGGCGCGCACCAGGGGGCCCAACAATAATTATTCTTTAGAATAAATAATGTTCAACAACAACAACAACAGCAACACCAACAACAACAACAGCAACACCACCAACAACAACAACAACAACTTCAACAACAACAACCAACACCAACACCAATAACAACAGCAACAATAACAACACCACAGCAACAACACCAACAGCAGCACCAGCAATAACAAAAGCAACAATAACAATGACACCAGCAAAACACAACGGCAACACTAACAACACTTACAACAGCAACATCAAGCAACCATTTCAAGACTGTTCGCTCTCATCTGCTCGCTTGCCATCCAACACGTATATTTCAAACCCTCGATACTCGCCCTCGTCCTCCTCGATCGTGCCCCCCTTATGGGGGTATATCCTTCTTTCTCGCAACGTGTCTTTCATGCGGCCCCTAAGGGCAGGGGGGAGAGAAGACGGAGGGAAGGCAGGGGCAAGAGTCAGGAGGGAAAGAAACACACAGACACAATTAATAGTCGATTCCCCAGGCAAATACGGGAGAATATGGGAAGTGTGGGGGAAGAGAAAACCAAGCAAGTATGGGAAAATATGGGGAATCCTGTTGTTTGTGTCTATTCATTTGTGTGTCCCAGGGCCCCTTCAAAGAAGAAGACGGAGGGAAGGCAGGGACAAGAGGGGCAGGCGGGTAAAGGCTCGAGCGGCAGCGCGATTTCCAGAATCACCGTCCATACAGTGGAGGCCTCACGCCAAGAAACACCACGGCCCGGCATCCCCACCCCGCGCGAGCACTGTTCCTGGGACCCCGCACGCGACAATTCCTCGCCAAAAAATTCCCCCACCGCGTCCTCACCTCGGCCTGGCATCCTCACCCCACGCGAGCTCTGTTCTTGGTGCCCCCCACGCGACAACTTCTCGCCCCAGACCGACCAACGCTCCCCACCGCGCCCTCACCACGCCCTGCTCGCCCCCAGGGTGCCCTGCGTTTCTTGGGTTTCGATGCTTCTGCCACGGGGAGCGTGCCGTTCCCACGCCAAAAAGCCACGGACGTCCTGGGGTCTCGGGGTTGGGCTTCTCGTGGGAGGCTTCTCCTGGTCGGGCCCCCACCGTGGCGAGAGCGTGATTCCCGAGCGTCGAGGACGCGGCGTCTGAATACACTGCGAGGAAGTCCCGCGCGAGAGCGCGATTCCTGCAGAAGTTGTGAGGACGTCCCGCTCGAGAGCGCGGTTTGGGAATACCCCTCGGTCGTTGAAAGTAGGTATTTCTGGACTCCCAGATTCCAATCTATTTTCAGCGCCTTCCTACTTCAAGAGTCGAGTGGTTTTCCCTCTTCCTTCCTCTTCAGGAGGCGGGGCGGGAACCCGATCTATTTCCAGCGCCTTCCTACTTCATGTTTCTACCCACTTCTTCCGACCGATGGGTACATATTGTGTGGAAGTCTCGG